TCCCCGAGTCGTGTCAAAATCTGTCCCAAATATTCTCTTTGAAGCTTTCCGTGCAGCGCTGAAGCGCTCTTGCCTTCAAAGAGGCTGCCGGAGACAGGCAGGCTGCTTGAAAGGCGCTCGGGCGGCCTCGCGTCACGTTCAGGCCGCATTAAAATTTCACCGCGCCGCTTGCACACCTCAGATGAAACACGGCTCCCCCTGAAAAGCATCTCAGGCTGAGAGAGGGGGGGGATGCTCCTGGCTGGGAAAAGGACGTGGGAACCGAGGGAGGTGGGTGCTGGCTGCCTCTGGAGAGGCAGTTTCGGGTGGTGAGCTCAACGCCTGCCTCCGTTCGGGAGGCTGCAACCCTCTGCAAGTCTTTTCTTGACGCGCACACAATTAAAAAGAGGGCGTGGGGGGAAGACGGAGAAAGCAAACACCTCCGCCGGCTCCGGGTCTGGCCGCCGCAGCTGCTCACCTAAGGCAGCCCTGGCGGGGGGCAGTTTCACCCAGGGAAAATCATCGTGCGGGGCTGCCCGCAGGTCGCGGGGTGGGAAGGCACTGGGATCTGCCCCCAGCCCTGGGCACACAGGGCCTTCCTCCCTCTCCTCTCCGGGCACACAGAGGGGGGCTCTTGGGTGTTTTACCATGGGCTGCGGTCCCCCTTTTGCTGCTCCCCAAACCAAGTGTTTATTTCTTTATGCCGAAGCTAAAACATGCCATTTTTCTGGCTTAAAAGGGGGCAAAGGTGCATACGGGCCCTGTGCCCCCTGCCACCTCTCCCTCTGTCCCGCTCGGTTCGCTGCGGCGATGCCCCCCAGCCGGTATCGACGCCTGTCACCCTGCTGACAGCACGAGAGACAAACGCCGGTTTGCCTTGGCCAGAAAACTTGCCTTGCAAAGAAAAAAGCCAGCTCAGGGCTTTTCACTTGGAGAGAAAGAGAACAAGAAGAATAGACTTGAAAGCAAATTCCCATGGTTTTGTTTTTGCTTTTTTTTTTTTGCTTTTTTTTTTTTTGCTTTGGATGAGAGCTTTTCCCACGCTCCATTGGAAGGCATGCAAGGAGCAAATGTTCCCTGGTTCCCGTAAATACCGAAAGCCACCGAGGAGCAAGGGAGAGAGGCAAAAATCAGCAGTCTGCTCTTCCCGTGGCAGTGACTTTTCCAGACCTAGCTACGTTTTCTGAGTGTGCCCAGAGCATCGGCCAAGGGGCTGCACCGAAATGAGACGGGGTGGTGGGTGCTGCCCCCAGCAACGCTGCTCGGCAGCTCGGAGGCTGCTTTGGGAGGAGAATTTGGAAGAATCTGGGGGGTTTGTTGCCCTGGATGACATCTGGTTAGGTGCTTGACAGCGTTCACCTGGCACAGGTCAAGGGCCTTCAGCTGGCTCTGCCAGAGCTGTTCTCTCCAGCTAAGTCTGGGGCTCCGTGGTTCCTGCACCAGTTGCTTTGTCTGAAGCTCATCACCCTTTCCTTGAACTGACTCCTGCCTTCAGAGGAGTGAAAAAAAGCAGCCTGTGCTCTGCACTTCGGCTATGCAAAACCCCTCTGTGCGTGGGAGAGCTTGCCCATGCAGCTCGCGCCCCTGGAACCGGTTCACCGGCTCTGCAAGCGGAGGCCTGTCTCCGGCGAGGCCGGCGGCAGCTCCCCGCTGCACGAGGGGCTGTGTGTCTTTGAACTGCCCCCAGAAGGCCGCCGAGAGACACGAGGATAGCTTTTGGAGCTGAGGAGCCAGCTGAGGCTGGAGATGCTTGGCAAGTCCTTCCTAGGGCAGCCGGGCAGCTCTGTCCTGCGGGGTGCCCCAGCTGCCTGGTGAGCCCCCACTGCTCACAGCTGGCCAAGCAAAGAGCATCAAAACAAAAAAAAAAAACAAAAAACACCAAAAGCCCCACCGTAGGTTCCTGATTTTAAGCAAAGCAGTGGGATCCTATCACTGGCACATCTCAGCTCCTCGCCGTCGATGAGAACCTGGCTCCTTCCCGCTCCCCTTCCACTTGTCTTTGGTCTCGCTTGCAGTCCTGCTGACGAGCTCCGCAGCCTGCACGCGCCCCTATCTGCTCCCACGATCTCCCTTTGTTTGGCTGCCAGCTTTCTGCACCTGCGTGCACGTATGCTCTTGCTCCCTGCTGGGGTTCATCCTTCCCTCTCCCCGATATGGGCAGGAAAGCAGGTTTTAGCTGGGGCCGGGGTCAGGGCAAAGGCAAGTGTTCCCACTGCTGCCCAGTGGCTGCTGTGGGTGGGATGGGGGGCACAAACTGCTGGCAGCTTGGTTATTTGCAGGTGGAGCGTCAATTGCCCTGTGAGCAGCCCACAGCCATCGAGTGATGATGGGCATCATCGAGTGATGATGGGCCCTGGTCTTCATATGTCAACGTGGGCTGCCGGTGTTCCCCAGGGACAGGAGGAGAGGGAACCCAAACCGAAGGGACCAGCCTGAGGGCATCTCCTTTCCAGGAGCCAAAGCAGCAGCCGGAGCAGGACGCGAGGCAGGCTCTCCTCCCTGGGGACTGCTGCACGGCTGGGAGGAGAAGATGCTACGGCACAGCTTCGCTTTTGGCAAGCAGGGACCGAATCACGAAAATCTTATCTGATTTACACTCATTCTCTTGAGCTTTTGTAGAGGCAGGAGAGGGGCTAGAACAGCTGTGGATGTCGCTGGGCGCAGCGCACAAAGCCCGCTTGTTGTCGGCGCTGTCATATGCCTCCGCGCCCCCTCCCCCTGCCCGGTCCCACCACTGAGGCTGCGTCCCGAAAAGCACGAAGCGAGCATCCCTCAAAGGGGCTATTATCCCCGATTTCTTAGCAGCCACTGTTGCCCTTCGCCACGGAGAAGCGGCGCGGTGCCTGTTGCTGATGGGCATGCTGATTCGTGGCCCTCCGCCGTGGTGGGGCGGAGGGGGAGGAAGGGAGACGGGCAGCTGCCTTTGGGGGAGAGATGCTCACATGGGCTTCTAAAAAACTAAAAAAAGCCCACATGCAGGAAAGAAGGCGACCAGCTGAGCAGCCAGGGGCATGGCAAAGCAACCAGTGTTGGAAGCAGGAGAAGGCCTGGGGTACGCAGAGAGGCAGCGCCCGGGGTGGGCACGTCGAACCTGGTGGCCAGGTGGAAGCCCCAGCACCTCAGGGGCACTGTTGTTTTCTAAGTCCCCTGGAGGAAAAAGCACTGTGGACACAAGCTGGTTTTGCTGGCTGTGAGAGATTTCATTTCATTTCATTCTGACCACAGGGAAACTCTCTATCAGTTTATGCTTTTTTTTTTTTTTTGTCCTCCTCTTCTTGGGGGTCGTGCCTGCTAGACCCTATGGGCCTGAAGCCTCCCCTGTGCCCTCAGGGTTTCTCCAGGCCTCGCTGCTGACGCAGCGCGCTGGGAACAATACGCTGGAAGAAATATGGCCAGCCAGGACACACGGTCACATCTCAGCAGGCTTTGTATACTGATTTCCACTTGAGAGGGCCTTTTTATTGCAAGTTTTCTTGGCCATTGGTAAAATACCTAAACGAACAATGATGAACACTCTATTGGAGGAGCTCTGGGAGTTTGCAGCCACCCAAAAAGCTGCCGTTCTCGATCTCAGACCTTGAAGAATAAATTATTTTTTTTTGGAAACTTTGAGGATACACTGTTTTCCAGCTCCTGGCAGCACTGGGACATCTCAACCCAGCCGTCTTGGCAGGAGGGGCTCACGGGCAAGGCTGTGAGGTCAAAGCACCCGTGTCCCCAGGTGTCCCCAGGTGTCTGGCCACAGCCGTGCAGCTGATTTTCACAGCTGATTCCCCCCCAGCACATCGCTGTGCTAGAGGTTTGTCGTGATTAATGCGTTTTGGAGAGCTAATTTACCCATTTGACTGGATGCCCTGGGATCTTGCGTGCAAACAGCACAGCAGATTGTGAACAAACTGAGTGGTTAAGGACAAGCAGGAGGTGTGCTAGGGCAGATTTCTTTACAGCAACGTTAAGGCAAATGAAGCAGAGGAGCCCTGTGTTTTCCTAACTTTCTGCTTATTGTGGGTTTTCCTGGCTATTTTAATAACTGATCAGAGTAAGGGCTGAGAGCAGAAGCAAAGAGCAGGCCTGGCCAGCCGGGGCATCTGTGAACAGAAAGGTTTGCAACCTGTGGCACTGCCAAAATCCCCCGAAGTGGAAGGATTCATTGGGCTGATCGGCTCCTGGGAGGGTAATTTTTTTCCATGATGAGTGCTGTGAGTACTCCGACCTTCAGCATTCTATTAGGGGATTATGATTTGGTTGGAAGCCGGTTTACCTTTTTATTCCACTATTTTGTCCCAAAATGCATGTCACTTGGCATCCTTTGTTGTACTAAACGAGAGGTGGCTTTAGCAAGGACCTGAGTTCAGGCCCTGAACAGAGACAAGAAGAACTTCCTTTTTTTTATTATTATTTTTAATCTTTTTTTAATCCTTTTTTTGTCTTTTTTTTTTTCCTTTTCTTTTTCCTCTTTCTCTTTTTTTGTTTTCTGTTTTGTTCCTCTTTTTTCTTTTTTCCCATTTTTTTTCCTTTTGTTCCCTTTTTCTTTCATTTCTCCCTCTTTATTTCTCTCTTCATTTCTTCTCCCTCTTTTTTTTTTTTTCTTTTTTTCTTTCTTTTTTTTTTTATGTTTTCCTTTCTTTTTTTTTTTTTTTAATTTTTTCTTTTTTTTTTTTTTTCTTTTTTTCTTTTCTTTCTCTCTCTCTCTCTTTTTTTTTTTTTTTTTTTCCCCTCTTTCTTTTTCTCTCCCTCCCCCAGCTCCAGCTGCACTAGACTCTCAAAACCACCCAGCCCAGCGAGCGGCTGGGGGCACACCTCTCCATTTCCCACCCACCCTAAAGCACACCCCAAACCCTACGGGGACCCAAACCTCCCCCACCTCCCTTCTCCGTGACCCCACCCTCCCCGAGCCGGCAGGAATTTAGGATCTCCCGAGGACACCGGCCCCATTTCGGCCCCGGGGATCCATCCGTGTCCACCCGCAGGTGCGCGCACGGGGGGTGCGCGCCGGTGCCACGCGTGGGTGCCCGGGGCGCTCCGTGCCGGGGGCGCGGCCCCGTGGGGGCGGCCCCGTGGGCGTTCCGAGGCGGGGCTCCCGCTGCCCCCTGCCCACGCGGGGCCGCGCTCGCCACTCGCCCGGTGGCCACCGGAGCCGGGCGGCAGCAGGGAGCCGAGCCCGGTGCGCCCCCCCCCCAGCATCCACGGGAGGCCGGTGAGAGCCGCGGGGCCGGGAGCGGGCGGCGCCGGGGCTGGGCTTTGGGGGGGGGGGGGAGCTCCGGGCGGAGCCCCCCGGGACAAAGCCGGGCTGGGAGAGACCCCGCCGGGGCTGGGAGGGGGTCGGGGGGGCGAGCCGGAGCCCTCCGCTGCGAGCTCCCGGGGGGAGCCCCGGGGAAGTTTCCGCAGCCCCCCGGGGGGGATGCGCCTGCTGCTCCCCCTGCACAAGGGGGGCTCCGGCTGAGAAGGGCGCCTGGCAGCGCCAGCCATTCAGCCAGCAGCGAGGAGAGTTTTTTCTGGCTCCTGCCCCTCCTTTCCTCCCTTGGATGTATATTTTTTTATTATTATTTATTTTTTTTTGCTGGCTCTCATCAGGACGCTTGGTAAACTTTGGGCATTGTCGGCGTGGCTGGCTTCCCAATTTTCCCCGTGGCATTAGCATCCCTGCGTTTCAACATTTTCATTTTTTTCCCCCCCCCAGTCAGGTTGATAAAACTAATATTGGGCCATTTGGATCATCCCCCACTGGCTCAGCGACCAGCCCAAACCCGCTGGCAGTGCCCTGCTTGGTTAAGGGCTGGATGCTGTGTGCTAAATCTGAAGGAAAACAAAGCAGGAGCACTGTAATGTCTTTAAAGATGATTTTCTTGCAAATATTGTTAATCTTGGGGGTTGTTGGGGTATGTCTGAGTGATTTGCTCTCCTTTGGTTAATTTGGAGTCTGAAAATCCATGGAAAAAACTGTCTAAAAGAGTCTCTTCTCTGAAATAGTGAGGCATCCTTTTATCTTATTTATGAATCCCATTGCTGTTGCTCTTCTTGCTGCTCTGTCATAAAACAGTTCCTAATTTATCGGCCTGCCAGTCTGCAGGTACTGATGCCTCATGTGATCGAAGCCTCCCTTCCCAAAGCTGGTGTCTGATGCTTGCAGGTCAGTGGCTCTTCCCCCGTTCACTTGGTCCCACTCAAGCTCTTAAAACCTTCCACCCCTTTAACTTTGCCTTTGTGGTGACCTGAAATTGGTTATATGGGGAAGAAATGGGTTATATGGCTCTGCAGAACGATACAGGGGAGTCGTGTGCGGGGTCACCTGTAGCAGCCGGCTGCAGTTTTCCTCCCCTGGTTGCACTTTCTGATCTGCTCTTCCCTAATCCCCTGCGCTTTGTGGGAGTCGTTGTCTGAAGTATCTCCAAAGTTGTTAGCTGCAGATAGCTACCGGCTGAGTGCAATCAGATCTGGCTGTGCGGGGAGGGAGGGCACAGGAATGCAGGAATGTCTTGGTCCTGGGGCATTTCCTCCTGGGGAAGGAAGATGGGAAGGCATCCTTGCGTGTTAGTAATCCAAGAGCAAAGCTCTTCTCCCCTTGCAAACAATGAATCATTTCAGCGAGCTGACACTGTTATTTGTGGCTCCTGGCAAACCAGATAAGAGCTTTTCTGCCAGGCACTTGCTCAAATCAGTGCCAGCCCCAGACTCGCTGCCTGCCTTTCTCCGTGGCGCTGGGTGGGAGAGGTGCCTTTGTGTACGACTGCAGTGATCACGGCAGGTGTCTCCGGGAGAAGGAAAGCTGCTGCTGGTCCCTTTGGCTACACAGTCGCCGAGTCTGGTGCCTGTATCTCCAAGCCACTTTGGAAAATATATATTTTTTCCTGCCCAGCTTTGCTCTGCGGGGATGCAAACAGCAATTCCAAGGCCTCTCTCCTTTACCCTCGATACAAGCCTCGCACGAGGCTGGTTCTACATGCTTGTTAAACAGGGAATGAAATCACATAGGAATGCTGCTTGTTTGATGTCTTCTCTATTACCGAGTTATGCTTAGAAGTTGGGGCTTTTAATGTGATTGTGTGGGCTCTAGCTGAGCCGTGAAAAGAAGCCCTGTAAACAACGAGCCTTTGTGATGAAGGCAGAATGAGCGCAATTATCACCTGTCCTATTAAAGATCTTCCCATTTTTTTTGTGGATAACAAAACTAATCGGACGGTTCGTGCTTCTCCAGGTAACCAGGTGATCTTCAAGAGCGGCTCTGGAGACAGCCAATGCAAGATGAACAGCAGAGAACAGTGCAGGCGACACGGGAGGCTCTCGGGCTGAGCCGCAAGGATTTGAAGATGTCTGCGTGCAGTGACTTTGTGGAACACGTTTGGAAGCCCGGCTCCTGCAAAAACTGCTTCAGCCCCAAGAGTTCCCATCGACTGCAGACACCCCCCGACGTGGGAGCCTGTGGTGTGCTCCCGAATGGAGTTAGGACCAAGGCTGAGAGCCCAGCGTTGGAAGACGAAGGCGTGAATACCCCTGTCTCAAAGCCAACGATTGCTGTGAAACCAACGATGATAAACTCAGATGTTTCTGACACGTGGGCGGATGTGAATATGAATGCAGATCTGTCACAGGTAATGATTAATCCAGTCCAAGCGTGATTTCCCGTTACTTGCCTCCTCTCAGGAGCTCTTGGAATATCTGTTAAAACGGTTTCCTTCCCATTGCTTCTCCTTCTGTTCTTGACTCAGGCTTTTAAGCCGATGTTGGCTTCCCAACGCATTTTTGGCTAAAGCTGAATGAAACGTTGCAGGCTGCCGTTACTGGTGTGGTTTGATCTGCGCACGTGGATCTTGCCCCAGGCTGAATTTTGTGCTGTGGGAGTGGGGTTTGCAACATCCCAGCCCTTCGGGCTGCAGCTGGTGCCTCTGCTTCTGCCTTGGCAAAAAGGGGGCGTGAGGACTGTCCCTGCTGCCCCAGGATCTCCTGCTCTCAGGCAGTATAAGTGTGGTCTCCTATTCACACTGTGAATATCTATCAACGCCTAGCACGTCAGGAAAAGAGGGGCTGCTGTAGTACCTGTCTACCCATCACAACGCTGCTCCTTCAATTTACCGTGTATTTTTCTGTCAGGTTTCCACGCTGCGAAACTAAGTCTATGGGAGCTGAGTTGAGGCTGCCAGTCCTTTGAGGTGGAAGGGCAATTTAGCGAAAATCCCTCCCTTCTGGGAAGCAATACTGCTATCAGGGGATGACCTGCGATAGTCCCCGTCGATGCTCTGGAGTCTGCCACTCAGGAGCAGCAGTGTGCAGCGAAACAAAAACAGCAGAGGGAAGCACAAAGATTCCTTCCCTCTCTGAATCCGTAATTGCACGGTGACTCACAGACAGGATGACAGGTTGGACGTGTTGCTGGCAGGGAACCCATGCAAAGAGAAAGGGGAATGCCTCATTTCATTGCATTGCCATTGTTGGTAATGCGAGGGCTGCGAATGGTCCAGGAAGAAGAAGGAGCAGCAAAGGCTTATTGGCGGGGTGAGCGCAGAGCAGATAAAGGCTGCACATGCCAGAGGATTTTCCTATGCATCTGTTTATCTCTTTTGCTTTCTCTTTCATTTTGCACGTGCTGACGGTGTGCTCCTTTTTCGTCCCCTGCAGGTCAGCTGGGGGATGGTTTCCGGCAAGCACCTTCTGCTGAAGTCAGGCGATGCGCAGCGGCTCTGTCGGGACAATTTTGGCAACGGCGGCGTGAGGAAGCCCTTCCTGCACGGCCCTCCGAGCGAGTGCCTGTCCTGCTGCTCTCCCAGCTACTCCATGGTGGGCCTGCGCAGCCTGGAGGGGCGCGTGGAGAGGAACGTCTCCATCCACAGCCTGGTGCTCCTGGGGGAGGTGGGCAAGCAGGAGAGCAGAGCCAAAGATAAGCTGGCCCTGCTGCATCAGCATCAGCCCCTCTGCCCTAACCCGCCCGCCTTGGGGGACAGAGGAGTCGGCAGCTCTGCCAGAAACCCCTCATCCCACGGGAGGGAAGGAGCAGCGCTTCCCTCAGAGGGTGACCGTGCTCGCGGCTCTTCCAGCTTCGAAGGTGAAGGGGGTGAGTACTGCTCGATCACGGACTGCCGCAGAGAGGGCTCTGCCCCACGCTGTGCCGAGGGGAAGGGGGCCTGGTGCGAGAAGGAGAGCCCGGCGCCCCGCGGCTGGAGGCAGCGGGATGCTCCCGAGGCGGCCAGGCCGAGCGGCAGGGCGGTGAAGTTCAGCGAGGAGGAGCGCAGGGCTGCCAGCGTGGCCTTCTGCATCGCCAAAGAGCAGGGCGATCCCTCTGCCCCGTCTTCGGAGAGGAAAAAGTCATCCCTCTGCGCCGAGGCGGCTGCTGCCTGCGCTTTGTGCCAGGATAAGGAGGACGCAGATGCTGCTGGAGGCACGAGCGGTCCCCAGCAGGCGTTGGTGGAGCCGCAGTGCTCCCGCGGCGACCCGATCTACGCCGAGAGCACCAAGAGGAAGAAAGCCCAGCTGAAGGGCCTCAGCGGAGCAGCGAACGTGGAGAAACCAGCCCACAGTCCTGGCACGGAGCAGGCGGACGGCACGTGGAGGGATGGTGGCTGGGCGTGGGGTGCCGAGAAGGAGTACCAGGACCCCGCCACCCAGGTGGCGGCCAAGATCACCGTCATGACCGCGCACACGGAGGACGACCACAAGACCATCTTCCTCAGCAGCCCCGACTCCGCTGTGGGGGTTCAGTGGCCCTGCGTCAGCTCCGCTTCCCACCCTGATTTTGGGACCTCGCCGCCCGCCGTTGAGCCCGGAGAGGTGTTTCAGGCATCGGGAAGTGAAAACGGACTGAGGCTTCACTTCGCAGCTCCTCCCAAGAGCTCGGTTACAGAGAGCCCGGCCATCCCTCCCAAGATGTCCAAAAACAGCCAGCAGGGCAGCGAGGGGAGCTGCGTGCTCCCAGCCAGCTCCCCCTGGCACGGCTCGGTGACGGCAATAACCACGACGGAGCTGGAGCCCACCCGCTGCCGAGGAGCTGTGCGGACACGGGGGGCTTTGGGGTGTCCCCTTCTCCGTGCGCTCACATTAACGGAGCCTCCGTGGAGGAGTCAGGCAGGGGCCTGGCAGGTTTGTCCTACGACAGGAGGCAGAAGCACTACACCCCAACGTGGGCCAAGCAGTGCCGGATAGAGGAGGAGGAGGAGGAGGTGGAGGAGGAGGAGCAGGCAGGCGCTCTCAACCCACCCGTGGGCAGTGGGAGCTGAGGTTGGAAGAGCCGACGCTGACCCCGTGGATGAGTGCCCGATGGTGGAGAGCCAGCCTGGGATCAGCAAGTCGTCGTCCTTTGAATTCCCTAAGGAGAAGAGCAATGGCACGGAGTTTGCGCCACCACCACCACCACCAAAGAAGCAGTCCAGGTATTCAGCCTTGTGAGTGTGTGTGTGACTGTTACACATTTGTGGTCGTGACGTGTTTGCTGTGGGGGTTGACTGGCCAGCAAGGTTTTTGGGATCAAAACCAACGGGTTACAAGGTCCTTTGGTATGTGGAACTGGGCAGCTTCCCCTCTTGGTTCTCATAGCGAGGGCCTCTGAAATCCTAATTTTCTGTTTGCCCCTAACGTCTTCTTGCTTTAAAGGCCGACGCGTGAAGCTGTAGCTTCCCAGGGAGGGCTCCTTGCCTGCAAGCAAGTAACCGGAGCTTGTCGAACATGTGCTTGCTTCAGGCAGCCTTTCCTTCACTGCAGCTCTCCTGGGATTCAGGTCTGCAGGCGGGGTGACAGCAGTGCCTACAAAACAAATGCAGGACTGCTGTCTGTCTGGAAAGGAAGAAGCTCCACTAAAAAATTAATTAATAATTTAATCTTCCAATAATTTCTGTGTATGCACTGACTGCAGTTGGCTGTGTATCAGAAAAGGGAAAAAAAAACAAAAAACAACCAAAAACTGCCCAAAGGAGTGAAAGCAATTGATTTCCCTCCCGTGCAGCAATGGGTTAGGCTGCCTGATCACGGCAGGGAGGGACACTTTGTGTCCTGCAGGTGTCCTGCGTTTGCTTTCTTGCACACTTCTGTGTTGCGTGGCAGATTGGGCTTTGTCTCTTCAATCTAGAAGTTGAGGGAAGGGATGGGTGTCTGGAGAAGTTGCTCTTAGGGCCTGTGGTCAGGCTTGTGCGTGGTCATCAGCGCTCACCAGTCTGAGATGGTGTTTGGGTTGGTGCTTCCTTAATTAATGGATTAATTTAAGCACTGCTTTATTCTTACACCAAAATTTCAACTTTTTAGGGCCGGCTAATGCAGGGAACTTTTACCTTGTTTTAAAGCTCCTTTAAACAAAATACTTTAAAGTGTTTTAAATTGACCAAACGATGAGCAAATCAGATTTCTCAAGGGAAGGAAGCAGATGAAAAAGAGCCTTCAGCCCTTAGTGCTGGGCTTTCTGCTGCGATGCCACGTGATCCCTGCTGAAGTCAGAGGAAAGAAAGAGCCCACAGGCGAGCACACAGACGAGCTTTATTGCCTTCACAATCAGAGATGACACTGAGATGTGCTTCAGTCCTGACCCTGAGAACTTTATTTGGTGGCTGCTGCTGCTTGGTGTCTTGTATCAGCGCCCGGCTCGGGGTCGTGGCTGCCACGTGTGGGGTGTTGTTGCGGGGGCTCGGCAGAGCTGTTCAGGAGTGATTCTTTAGGAAATGTGCAGTCACCTGCTGAAAGTCTGGAGCTGTACCAGTGCCAGGTGGCTGAGGTAGGTGCTGGCATTGCTCTTAGTCTCTGTGGCCGCAGGCGAGGCTTCGCGCTGCGTGTAGCTGCCTCCTCGGCACCGTGCTGCCTGCGGCTGGGCCTCGGGGTGCCTTGCTGAGAGCACGGCCCTCCCTCTGGGAGCAACTCGATCAGACGGCGGCTTTCACGAGCTGCTGGCTTTGTTTGTTTGCTCGGAGGGTGCTCGTGTTTTCCTCTGAGCGTGTTCACACAGGAACCGGGGTGTTGTTACCTGTACGTGGCAGCGGGAGGGATGGCTACGTGCAACGCTGCTTGAAACCACCACAGCGGGGTTGTGTTACCTTGGGCAGTCATCGCTGGCAGCTTCTTCTCCTGGTGTGACTTGCCTGGTGCTGGGGGAACATCTCTGGGGCTCCTGGGCTGCAGCCACGTGCCTGGAGGAGGGCAGAGATCCTCCGCACGGGGGTGACTCTGAGGCACGTTCATCCTCCCCGAGGCCTGGGCATTGTTCATGCATTTTTTTTGTTGTTCGTCCTTGCTCTAACAATTAAAAGAGAAAAAAAATTACAAGGTAAATTCCTGCCAGGCACTGAGGAAACTCTGGTTTTGCTGTAAGCTATCTCCTAGGATGGCCGAAGGAGTGCTTTTGGGGGGTTTTAAAAGTGGGCATCCAAAAAGCACAGCCTTCAGTTATTTGGCACAGAAAGGGAATCCTTGCTGAAACTTCTGCCTTTGTTATGCAGCGGGTGAGGTTAAATGATCCTCGGGTTCCTTCCAGCATGTCAGCCTTAACTGTTCATGTATGCCACGTGCCTCTTAAGCAAAGGAAATGGTGCTGCTGTTTTGCATTAGCTCTTGAGCTGGTTTTGTCACAATTACTGCCACCTTCAAAAGGCAGCGCTGTAGGTGTCTTTCTAGTACCATTCCTGAGGCACCTGTTTCCTTCTGGATCTTGGTGTGGATGTGTACTCCGGTGAACAGAAGCAAACTGGCTACGTGGTGCTCCTGTGGCAGTACAAAATGCAATTGGAAGTCATACAGGTCCCCAAATTTGACCCTTTTCTTTGTGGTCTCTATGACTGTGAATGGCAGTAGGGAGTTGCTTTGAACAAGCCAGACTTATTATTATAAAAAATAAATAAATCACAAACTCTAGAGTGTATTTTAAAAAGTACATAAAGCAAAGAAGAGCTAGTATGGCTCATGCAGGAGAGAGCATCCCACTCCAGGACAGGGAGCTAATAGGCCTTTCGGATTCTCCGAGTGGTTTTTGTCTGAAACTAATCAGGAATTTCTTTTGTTGCTTCTGCCAATGGATCACTTCTGCAGGTTGTGACTTATCGGGCAAGTCTTTTGGGAGAGACTGACTCCCATTTTGAAAGAAACAATCTCTGTTCTTTGTGTTTCCTATCTTGCCACGTAAAAAGTATGGGGTTGGAAATCAGATTTGTCTTCTTCACCACATTGGAGCGTTCAGTGATTTCACTGTTGACTCAGCTATCATTAATTCTGCTCTCCGTATGAATTTACTCTGGCATCCAGGGGGAGACCACAGACTCATAGAGTGGCTCGGGTTGGAAGGGACCTCGTAGATCATCCAGTTCAACCCCCCTGCCATGGGCAGGGATGCCACCCACTACATCAGGTTGCCCAGGGCCTCATCCAGCCTGGCCTTGAACACCCCCAGGGATGGGGCACCCACAAGCTCTCTGGGCAGCCTGTGCCAGTTCTAAAGAGCCTGTCTCCTGATAAGTCAATAAATAAATAAATAAATAAACTGTAAAAAGTATGGGTTGAGTCACCCCCAAGAGTATGGATTATATGAATGTGCCATTGATTTTTTTTTTTTCTCTGGACATTTTACCTTTAGTGTAAAAGAGATGGGAAGACCTTTAATAGCTACACAGATTAAAGCATTCGGATGACCTGACCACAAAAAGGTTTTAGATGGGATGCTGGTATTGATGGGGCAGAGGATGCTTAGCTTTTTTAGATTGCTTGGTTTGCCTAAACCAGAAACAGAGGTATAAAAACAGCTCCCTGGCACCACAGATCTGCTCTACCCCTTTGCTAGTGCTCACCTGCAGCAGTGGAGGGAGGAGGAAAATAAAACCATTCCTGTTTCATGACAGAAAAGCATGTGGTGCCACGATGCTTCCCCTTGTATAATAGTTATGCCCAGGCACGTGTGGCTGCCATGTAGCCTGGCTTTTCTCTCTGCTATGCATTAGTTCCAGTGCTGTATTTTGGGAAGGGATGTCCCGTTCACATTTGCACCACCTTCCCCTGGCAGTTCCTACTGCTCTATGTTTGAGGGGTTTGATGCTCCTACTCTGCTCCGTTTGTGGAAGCATCTGGAAATAACGCGCTCTGCTTTGTGGGTCACTGTACACAGAGAAACCAATTCCTCCATGGCCAGATGAGGTTAGTATGGGTTTAACTGCCTTCTTAAGGGAGAAACGAGGACATTGCTGTGCTTCCCATCACCACAGCACACAAAGAAACACAAAGCATTACTCCGCACTAGCAGGAGATGCAGCATTGCCAATGATCTGGTGTCCCGTGGCAATGTTACAGATCTCCAAACCCTTTTTTTTTTTTTTCTTTAGAAGACCATAATCTTCCATTTTCCACCCTGGTTTGTTTTAGGCAGGACTGTGGGAATCGTTTGGAAAGCCAGCTAGATGGAATTGTTTCGGATGGGAAGACTGGTGAATAGTGAATTGTAGGGGTTGCCCAAATATGCTAGGATGTCATGTGGAGGATGTTGAAGAAGCCAAGTGTGTTTAAAGCCGCCAGAATAATTAGGAGAGCTGGAAATCCTGTCTTATTAGCTTATTAGATTGAGAGCTGACTCTTTTGTGACCCGCTCTCTAGGTGCTCACGCTCAGTGGAGGCTCTGCTGCTGTTCCTGAAGTTAGCACTTAACATTTAAAGTGCTGAGGAAATGGAGGGGAATTACCCACTGTGACCTCTTTCTGAGGGAAGCAGAGCCCACACGTGTTAGCAGGCGACAGGGGACAATCCCAGTGATCTCTTCAGGTTTAAAATGGGTTCGTGCTCTTTATTTCCAGTAGCCTTTGGAGGAAAGGGCAGGGCAGCGAACCCGTACAGCTGTGCATGGCATGAATGAACGCTACAAGCGGAGGAGAAGTAAGGATCCCACGGGCTGTTGCAGTGGTTGGTTGCTCAGCTCTTGGAGTGGATTTTATTTTTGTTGGAAGCGGGACAGTTTGGCCATAGCGAGTATTTCCAGTAATTCTTCGGGAAAGCGATGGGTATTTCGATCTGGGCGCTGTCTGGGCTAGGAGGAGCTTATAGGAAAGGAGGGAGATTTGGAGCAAAAATATGCGCAGGAGGCAATAGCTGGCCTGGCTGCAGCATCTGAAACAAGAGCAGGATGTCATTACAGCGGCGAGCAATTTTCTATTTTGGTGCGACCCGCTCAGGAACTACATTTTTTACATCGCGGCGCGGGGAGGAAGCGGTGCTCCCCGTCCGTATGACTTCACGGCAGCGCTGGGCTCAGCAAACACAGCCGGCAGGATGGTGCTGGCAGGCGCCGTGCTGTGCCCAGGTTGCTTGGAGGAATAGGTGGGGCTGCGCGGGCTGGACCTTGGACCCTGGCGAGCAAAGTCCCATCTCTGCCCGAGTGTGGGAATGGTAAGGCAGCTCCGTGGATCCGTGTTTTAAGTGATGGGGAGGAAAGAAAAATGCACCAGCTTTTTCTTCTGTGTGTGTTCGCGCGTGTGGATGTGTGTGTGTGTCTGGGGAGGGGGAGGGATGTGTCAGGAAACCTCTCATCTGTGCAAATCGAGACCAGCTCTCTCCTGAGATCTCTCGCTTTTCTTCTGGATTCAAACACTTCCTTGATTCTTACCAAGTCAGGCAGGGCGCACGCATCGATGTGCACCCCTTCGTCTTTTTTTCCACCCCAAGTTACTAAAAGTTAAGTTTCTGAGCAAATCGGTTATGGGATAAGGTTATATAGCTTATATGTATATAAAACTATGTATGTAGTTTTATTTAGTATATGTAGCTTTATTTAAAAAAAAAAAAAAGACTAGACTCCAGTTGGCTGTTTTCAACAGCATTAATCATAACAGAGCTAAAAACCACAGTGTCTCTCACTTGCTCTTTCTTTCTTTCTTTCTTTTTTTTTTTTCTTTTTTAAATAAACCTGTCTTGCGTGGTGCACGTGAAGTTTCGTAAATCCTCCTCGGGAGGCTGGCTGTGGTGACCAAGTGCGCGTGGAAAAGTCATCACCGGGGCAAGACCAAGGGCAGCGTCCCTGCCGAGCTGTACCTGGGGTGGTTTCCCCGACCCTTATTTTGATCAGCCCCCGAGTATTTTTAGAATGAGCCTGCTCAGGCAAATGAGGAAGTCTGGCAGAAGTTTCTTCCGGGCTTCTCATACATGCTGCTCTCCATGTGGTTGTGTGGACACCAGAGTAAGTGCTTTGTCTGGACGCAGGATGAAACGTTTCTTAATCTGAAAATAAAGCGCTCGTGGCATCTGCTGTGCCTGGGGATTTTGGAAGAGGAGGGATTCTGCATGCGTGAGCAGTGTGTCACAAGAAAATAGTTGTGCATGTCTTTTGTTTGTCTTTCTCTGCAGCCGCTCCGCCGTCTGATTAGGAAATGCCGGATACCTTCCAGCGAGATAGCTGGTGGAAGTTATTTCTCTTTTCTTTTCTTTTTTTGCAAGTCTTCTGCTAACCTTTTTGCATTCTCAGTCATCAATGCGTTGAGTTTTATCGGTGGATTGGCAGCTTTATTTAAAAATGTGGCAAATAACCTCAACGGAGAGTTTGATCTGTACCAAAGCTAGGGGTATTTGTGCTCTGGTGTGCTGCCTGGTTTCGCCAGTTCCTGTTGTTTTCCAGGGAGGAAAAAAAAAATGAAGAAAATACTGGGGAAAATTCATTATCTCAGCAGATAGTCCTGCTTGCCTACAACTGATCACTTATATTGTGGCTCTGGCAGTACATAAGGAGGGCAGCTTGTGGTTTAAGGATTTATTTATTGTAGATGGAAGCTGTGTGGAGAACAGTAGGTCTTACCCTAAAAGCCGCATGGTGGGTCCTGCGTCTGATGTACTGATTGTTTTCTGAAGAGGTGCTTCTTTTTTCAGCTGTTAGGGTGGTGCACAGAGCAGAAAGCTGCTGCTGCTGCTGGACTGTGCTTCTACTCGTGTCTCCACCGTGTAGGAGTTGGGTTCTGGTGCCCAGCACCAACTTCTCCTCCTGTAGACTAGGAGGAGTGATGCTGCTCCCTTCCACGGAGTTTTACTGGAGGCAAACATCCGTGGGTCCCCGCTTCCTGGTGGCAGTGGCCAAAATGGGATGCAGTCCAAGATCACACATGTGCTAGAAAGGGGAGGCTGAGGCTGGGGCTGGGCACTGTTGGCTCCGTGGTTCTCCCTGCTCAAGCACACGTGGGTTCTCAGAGGAAGCGGTGCCTTGCAAGGCCACGACCTGCTTGGTGTCAGTGGAATATGACCTCCAAATCCCAGAGAAAGGGGAGGAAAAAATTGACAATGAAATGCTAATGCCTGGTAAGACTGCAGTGTCTGTATGAATACGTGGGGACCAAGCTGAGGCTGCTCTCAACTTTAATCTGCGCTCGCAGCTGCGTGCGTGGCACCTTTTCCTGCCTGCCTCCTGACCCTTCTGCTTCGTTGTCTCTAGGCGCGCTCTGAAAATGAACCCGAATAACGCTGAGCTGGAGAGGGGCAGCAACAGCTCCACCGAGAGCCTCAGCCCGCCTTTCCGCAGCATCCACGTCAGCTTCACGGCCGGATCCACCGACAGCCTCAGCTCGGACACGCAGACCGGCAGCGATGGCAGTAAGTGGCCGAGTGGGTGTCGGAGAGGTAGCATCAGACCCGGGGAGGAGATTATCCCATCCTGAGTCCCACTGCTGGGGTGGCATCTGCAGGGCAGGGGTCACAGGGCTCCCATCACCTTGTCCTCTCATCAACCCTCCGTCTGTCTGCTCTCACCCTTCTGCCTCTTGATGCACTTAAGATGAACGTGGCAGAGCCAGACCATCATTTTTTTTTTCCCTCTTTCATTTGGCCAGTGCCAAAATCTGTTTATCCATCGTGTCTGGATGAAGCCTCTATCTGAAAGCAACTGTGCTCATCCTGCTTGTGCTTCCCCTGTTGCACAAGGCCACAAGTAAGCTCTCGTGGAATATCCTCCACACATCTGAGGAGTACCAGAAGGGGTTTTGTGCTAAAGGTGATCTCTCCCTCTCCTTGTCTTCCCAGTTGTTTCTTGAAGGGGGGGAAAAAAAAATCTGCCTGCACTAGTTTAACTGAGATTAAAAAATACTTACTATGAAGTCACTTTCTTCATAAGTGCGTAACTGAGACATGCACTAACGTGTTCGGCAGCTCAGAAAGTATTTCCTTTGCAGAAGTAATCTTCGTGTAGTGGAAGTTCTGTCTTTCCAAGAGCAACAATGTGCAGCAATAAAATTAAGAGCCAGAGCTCTGGAAAGTCCATTTTTCCACTGCTAACTTTGGAGTCTGAGAGCGAGGCTCTGCCAGGAAGTTGTACGTGGGGAAGAAAAACTCACATATTTTGGATCTTTACTTGCTGGACACAAAAGCAATTTGCTGTCAAAAATGATACGGAACAACAGGAGTACTCTGCTTCCACTAGCAGAGGCAACTGTTTAAGCTCATCTCAGGAAGGCTGAGCTTTAAAATGAATAACCCACACGTGAGCTCTTGTTCTGGTGTAAGCAAGCAGCTACGCAGTCAGTCACCGGGTGAAGTGAGCTCAGATTAATTGGCTGTGCTGTCAGATGTGAAAATACGGGGGATGGGATAAGCCCCATCCCATCTCATGCAGGAGAACCCCACGCTGAAGGTGCAGAGCAGTGTTAGGAAAGCTGTGAAAAGGTTTTAATTGTTACCCAGTGCTTGGGGCAGAGTCCATCGGCGTGTAAAAAAGAGGTGAGAGCAATTTGACGTTTGTGGACTTGTTGCCAAAGGTTCTGGGGCTGCTGTTTGTTCCCTAAGCCTCTACCAAATAAATTTATCCTCTTGAAATGGGGGCTCCACTGCGTGTCCTGGCAGAGAGGTGCTGGTCTTGGGCTGCTTGCTGAAGAATTTCTCTTGGTTGCGTCTTCTGACGAAGCCCCTAGGACTGGAAGTGGCAGGAGATGCCCTGCTGCATGACTGCTGTCTGCAGGACAGGCTGAGCTGGCATCTGCTCTGGTAGCTGAGACGTAGTGGACCTGCTCCCACCGTGGTCATCACAGGCAGCGAGCAGCTACCAGGGATGGCTGTCCCAGTAATTGTCACTTCTTTCAATTGCTGCTTCAGATCCCCACCACCTTTTTCTCTCCGACCTGAAAGTCTTGCTGTCTATTTCAACGTCAAATCACCCTTTTCTGCTTTTCCCCTCTTCTGAGGCGTGCAGCTGTGCTGCCTGTCTCCAGCCTAGCTGGGGCAGGAAGGCAGAGAGATCTCACGTAAGCTGGGGGACAGCCAGAAGGGAGGCCAGATTTTTTTTTCAGTAGGGTGGAGCTGGCCGAATCCCAGCCCTTACCCGGTGACCCTTACCCAACGAGAGGCAGAGGCAGGTTCAATATCCTTCTTGGGCAGCTGTGGCCAGGCTGTGAAGTCAGAGCTGCGTGAGTCACTCTTATCACACTGTGCTGCTCAGGCAGCGGGTGGCAGCTCCCAGGCTTTGCTGGAAGGATTGCTGCTGAATGAGTGTCCTCCAAGTGCTTCCTTCTTACTTACCTCCTCGTGGCTGATGTCACGGCTTAAATATTTGCCCTCTGCCAGCTTTTTCTGCCGTGTGTGAGGTTCGTAGGAAAGCAGTCTCAGGTGGAGGGAGCATTTCTCTAGCGAGCTGCCTGCGGCCTGCTTCGCGAAGCTGCTGTGTTAAACCAGATTAAGGAGAGCTAACCCCTTCCATGCAGCTCTGCCTCCACGAATGGATGAGTCAAACCCCGTTGTGTCTCCCTGTCCCCTAGGGCACTCGTCTGAGCCGAACCACTCGCCGCCTCCAGCTGAGAGCCAAGTGTTTCCCTCTGGCTCCTTCCTCCCCACCTCCAGTGAGGATGCTCCCTCTGCCGGCCCCAGCTGCCCGCCCCCTCTGCCCCAGAAGAAGATGATGAGCAGAACGGTGTCCTCCCCGGATGGCTTTTTTGGGAGCCAAACATCTTCCGGCAGAGCAGCCGGCACTGCCAGCCCCAGGTTGAACGTCAGCCACTCCGAGAGCAACTTCTGCCTGCGGGAGGAGCCTCCCTTCATCCACCCAGCCGGCCTGGGGGGCCCCGGCACCTTCTCTTCTGAGTCCCTGGAGAGAGCCTCCAAAGGAAACAGCTACTGGGGCTCGGCTACCAGCAAGAGCACGGGGGCCTGCATCCCCAGCAGGAACCAGCAGTCCCTCTCCTCCTCGCAGCTCAGCGTCTCCAGCCAGGTGTCGTCGAGCTCCAGCCTCCACCTCCACAACCTCCTGAGCAACATCGACAGCAAGGAGGGGGTGTACGCCAAGCTGGGGGCCCTCTACGCCGAGTCCCTGCGCCGCCTGGTCGCCAAGTGCGAGGACTGCTTCATGCGGGAGCAGAAGAACGAGCTGCGCTTCAGCGAGAACAACTGGTCGCTCTTCAAGCTGGCGTGCAACAAGCCCTGCTGCGACTCGGGGGATGCCATCTACTACTGTGCCACCTGCTCCAAGGACCCTTCAACCACCTATGCTGTGAAGGTAAGCCTGTGACCAGAGCAAGCCTGGGTACGTGGCTCATCCCCACCTTCCCAGCTCCAAGCAGCCGCAGGGTTTGCTTCCCACAGCGGAGCTGGGACCGGTCTACAACCCAGCCAGGTTCTCTCTGAAAAACTTAGTGCTAGTACTATATTTTAAACTCAGCATAGTTCACCTCTGACAAACCAAACTGCTTAAAAACTGCTCAAAAGACAGCCTTTTTCCCCATTGCACCTCCTTCTAAGGGGAAGGTCTGACCCAGAAACCATGTGAGTGCCTGTATGATGTTGAAACTACAGGCTTTAAGGTATTCCAGGTCTCAATTAAATAATGAAAGGCTGACCTAGAGATGGTGTGTAAGGTCAGGTTCTGAAATATATCCCTGTAAGTGTAGAGAATCCACGTTTGAAATGGAAATGTGGGGTGCGATGGTTCAGCTCTCCGAAACCTGGATAAATAAGCTTAGGCAGCTTGTTTCATGCACATCCCGTGGATTTGGGGTTCTTGATCCATGTTACTACTTGAATGCAGAGGCTTTTAACTTCTGTTTGGGCTTTAACCTAGAAGTTCACTGCTGCTTCCTCCTCATGTTGTTTTCAAAAACTAAAATAATTCCCAAACAAGCGCTGCCAGAGATGCATTAAGCAAGGAAAAAAAAGATCTGCTGAATCCTTTACACAATTACAACCCCCAAGGGGATGTTTTAGTTAAGTGATAGCTTTAAAGCCTTAAAAAAGATTTTCTAAAGGAAGCAGGCAACCCAACAGGGGGGTGCTTTGAATAACCGGAGTTGAATCAGGGCTTGCCCCAATACCTCTAGTCCAGCGGTCAGAGCAGCAACTTTTTAGGTATAACAAGCCAAAGTCCATCAAAATTTTCTTCCAGAAACCTCAGAGCTGGTCAGCTCCTTTTCAATATGTGGTTCCTGGTGGCACACACAGACCTTTCCTCTTGCCAGCCACGCTGGGTGTGGTTCAGTGGCTCTGCCTCCACTGCTGTAGTGGATGAATTACGACCAAGGCAGAAACACCACAATTTCAGTCTCTTAACGGAGCTGCTCTTGGGTCCCTGTGTGCTTATTCTGTGTCCTTGGTACTCTGCAGAGCACTGTGATAAAGCCCAGAGCAGCCCAACAGGGCTGTACTCTGCACCAGCATAAAGTCATGCACGTGTTTATGTACGTGCACTCGCACATCTCTTGCAATGTTCCAGGGTGCTACCTTATTTTGGTAGCTGAAATGGAGAACACTTGCAAAACTTTACAGCTGACTTCTCACTGCCCCTCCTGGATGTGATACAGATTTTCTGACGTGCAAGAAATCGCAGACCGGTAGTTAAAATAGATTTGGATAACTCAAGATGGGCAGAGGATCTGACGTGAGCCAAGGGGCCAGCTGAGCAGCCAGAGCCAGGGTTTAGGCTGTGTACAGGCACACAAGGATATGTATAAAATAGTCAGAAGGAGCCAGTTTTACATGAAATGGCTTTAGAGGAATTAAGCCAAGATATGCTCTGCTCCTTGGCTTCTTTCTCTGCTTAAAGGTGCACGACTAAGCCAGCCCCAGGCTCCTACTTGGAGGCTGTTGCATGGAGGATGCCTCTGGTGCAGCCAAAGTCAGGAAGAAAGGCTGGCTGGGGAAGATCTCCCTGACTCCATCTGGCTGCATTCATTCTTCCAGGGGCTCCTCTTTCCTTGGTATGGTAATCTGTAGTCTGCCCCACTCTGCAGAGATTATCTTTCCCCTAAATAAGCATGAAGCAGCAGCAGGGTATTTTCCTTTAGAAGAGAAGGGGCACTTCAAGCCCCTATTGTCCTATCTCTACACGATCATCTCATCTGAGTGAATTACCTGCAAATGCCTGGATCCAAACCATTGCTAGCGGAGTACAAAAGCAGCCTGTTTCTCCAGCTCCTCTCTATTATTGCATTTATTTTAGCTTGGAGGCAAAATTGATTTCTTGTCCGATTTTGCACGCACACCATGACTGGCAGTGGCACGCTCCAGGGTTTGAAGCCTTTTATGCTGAGTTTCAGCCTGTTGTTGATTCCTGTGGTTGAGATATAAATACATCCCTAAATAGAAGGGGGGAAAAAAACAGAAGCGTACAAAAGAAATGCCAGAAGGCCTCACAAGCTAATGGATGCTCCTATAAGAAACCTGGTTTTGGGTTTGTGTCGTCTTTAATGCAGCCATAATGCTAAAACACAGAACAAAATGAAGACAAAGTCATGCGAGTTCAAGAAAATCTAGAGATGGTTTAAAGTGCTAAAGGAACTAATATGCACCCTGCTTCTACCAATATCTTAATGTCTTCAAATCCCAGCTTAAGGAACTACCTCTGAGCTTCTGGTCTGCGCCCGGTCTCTGTCACTGATGGATAAAACTTTTTCTTTGGTCTCTCCTTGCAGATCTGTAAAAGCCAGGAGTCCAAGGTGGCCGCTTCATACTGCAGCCCCGCGGTGCCCGTCCACTTCAACATCCAGCAGGACTGTGGGCATTTCGTGGCCTCCGTCCCCTCCAGCATGCTCCTGGCCTCGGATGTGGAGAAGAGCGTGCCCGGGGATGGTCTCCGTGCCTCCCGCGCTGCCAGCGAGCACGACTGCGTGGTGGTCATCACGCGGGAGGTGCCGAGCCAGACCACTGCTGACTTCGTGAGGGACTCGGTGATGCTGCACCAAGCCAAGCCTGAGCTGTACGAACGTCGGGTTTGCTTCTTGCTCCTCCAGCTCTGCAACGGGCTGGAGCACCTCAAAGAGCATGGCATAATCCATCGTGACCTGTGCCTGGAGAACCTCCTGCTTGTCCCCTGCAAGCCCCCCATGAGCTGTGTGAAAGCCAAAGATGACAAGCACTTGCCCCGCCTGATCATCAGCAACTTTTTGAAAGCCAAGCAGAAACCGGGATCCGGAGACTCCAAGCTGAAGAAGAGTCAGGCCAGGCTGGCCCCGGAGATTGTGTCAGCTTCCCAGTACAAGAAGTTCGATGAGTTTCAGACTGGCATCCTCATCTACGAGCTGCTGCACCAGCCCAACCCCTTTGAGGAGAAGGTGCACCTCAAGGAGCAGGAGTACAGCCCCGAGGACCTCCCTGCTCTGCCCAGCCTGTCCATCTACTCGCGGGGGCTCCAGCAGCTGGCCCACCTCCTTCTGGAGGCGGACCCCATCAAGCGCGTGCGGATCACCGAGGCCAAGCGGATGCTGCAGTGCCTGCTGTGGGGGCCCCGGCGGGAGCTCACCGAGCAGCCCCTCAGCCACGAGGAAGCCCTCTGCCAGGTGCTGCAGAACTGGGTGGACATGAAGCGGGCCCTGCTGATGATGAAGTTTGCTGAGCGAGCCGTGGACACGGAGCGGAGCGTCGAACTGGAGGACTGGCTCTGCTGCCAGTACCTGGCGTCCGCCGAGCCTGCCTCCCTCTCGCACACGCTGAAGCTGCTGCAGCTGCTCTGATGCTGGACGTGTCTCGGGGGCGGCTGTGGAAGGGGCACAGCCCCGTTACACGGGGGAGGCTGGGATCTCAGCCGTGAGCGTGTGCTCCCATCCGTGTAAGACATTCAGTACAATTGCGAGCAGGCAAAACTGGGAGCCGAACCCTCTCTAGGGGGATTTTTTTTGTTTTGTTTTGCTATGGTAAGTCTGTTGACTAATAAATTCCTGCCCGCGTGTGTGCATGTTTCTAATGAGCACGGCGCAGTTGAGTTGATTTCTGAGCCTAGGGGACAGCCCTTTGATCCCCACCCCCTGAAGCCTCAGAGCCTCTTTGCCTGGAAACACCGCTGATTGCCAGGGTGGGCAGCAAGGAGGAACAGCTGGGTTATTCTCCCGAGGAGTAAAAACAATGCATTCACTGCTCCTTTGCATGGGAGAGCCAGGAGCTGCTTTCAAATTCATTTCTGCTTTGACATCCGTTCTGTGTTTTTTATTTTTTAATTTTTTTGCTTTAAAAAACAAAAATCACTGCTTGTTTCTGCTGTGGGCAACTATCACCTGCCTGTTGCCTTCTCTGGATGTTAATGCAGCATTGCCTTCCTGTCTAGCACTGCTGCCTTTGTGAAGGGGGGAGAGAGCCAGGATGGGGCTGCTCACAAAGGATGATGCTGCGTGCTGGGAATTACCCCTTGTAAAGTTAATGAAATGGAAAATCCCCAATTCACCTCCAAGGCCCCTGAGGAAGAAAGTCGGGGCCAGGCTGCTCTGCTTTCCCCATCCACCCAGCTTATCCCCTTCACCTGGTAACTCACCTGTCCCTTGTGCGTAGCATGTGTTTAACCCCTTTGGTGGAGAGGCCGTGTTGCTGCTGACTTTTCAGGCAGGTTGTGGGCTGCCTTTATGCTCTTCCCTCTCAATACGAGGCAGAGGTGAGCTGCCATGCTGCTGGGACCTGGTTGTGTAGCACTTGGAGGGGTCGATTTGGGGCTCATGGAGGGAACCCAGCATCAACTTTGCTGAGGAAGGACATCACCATCCTGAGCTACCCCCATCCCAGCTGAAAATGGGGAGAAAGTCACGAGCATTCTCCTCCAACCTTCATTCACCTCCAGCTCCAGCCTGCTCTCTTGTGGGAATTTTAATTCCCCAGGATTTTTGACACTTTGCATGCTTTCTGTGAATCTTTTCCAGGCTTCTCACCTGGATTTTTAATCTGTTTGGCTGCAGTTGCTGCTGATGGGAGGGAATGGTTTCTTGGCTGGGCACCCGTTTGCAATGAATTTCCCCTAGTCCCCTTAGGGAGGAAGCTGTGCACGTCCCTGCCTGCTGCAAGAATGTGGAATGACTCCAGCCGCTACTGTCAGGGATTTTTTATACACAGGCTTTCTTGTGCCCTGTCTCTTGTGTACATTTCCCTCCAACACGGGCAGCATGAGCCTTCTGGCTTGGGAGCCACTGTCCTGTGGACCATCCCGCATGCTTTGCTGGGATCTCTGGCTGCAGCCGGCTGCATGTGGTCTCACGTTGGCCAGGGGAGTGATTGAACAGCCGGAGAGCCTGTCTGAAGGAGCCCAGCATGTTTTGCAGAGGTAAGATGAAGAGATGACTCAGTTTTAAAGCATGGATGTAGGGAACAAGTTGGAGGCAGCTCAGCAGGACTAACACCGAAGGAGATGGGGCCTGACCATGACCAATCCAATCATAATGCCAGCTGGAAAATAACAACTGGGGCAACTGGATTGAGGCTGGTTCAGGTGTTGGTGGTCCTGGTACCTTGCAGCAGTATCCCCCATAGATTAGGGACCAGCTATAGTCTTGTAGTGTTTTCAGCCATATTATATTGAGGTTGGGTGGGTGGCTTCATGCTTTCATGGAAACAAAAGCTCCGTGGCTTCCTGATATCTTCCCCTCTGGTATCCCGTGCCTAAGCAGTCCCAGGCTTTTGGGTCCTAGGTCAGTGCTTGGACTCAAGAAGAGCATTGTGCAGCTGTTGTGGGGAAAGCAACCCTCAAGCCCTAGCTGAATGTCACAGCCAAGTCTGAGGGCCTTGCTGGCTTATTTCCCCCTCTGCCCATGCTGTCCTCAGCATGCCTTGGGCAGTAGACCCCAACTCTACTTGCCCACGTGCCCAGGATCCCCTGCAGAGGTGGCTGAGATGGATCATCTGTGTTCCCTGACCTTACACCTGGGGGCCAAGCATGCCACCCACTCAGGGGGACTGCAGAAGACATCCAGCTGGGACAAAGCTTGGGGTTCATGTGCCACGGGAAGAGTGTCAAGGGGCGACTGCTGGAGAAGCACCGCAGACTCATGCCTCTCACTAGTACTGCTGCTTGGGTATTTGCAGCACTGATGAGTTTGGCGGGGAGGTTGCATGCTTTCCACGTGAGATGAGGCTGAGACCCAAAGCCTCCAAGACAAATGTGGGGCAAGCAGTATGGCTGGGAGCTCTTTTGTCTAGGTTGGTGACATCTATACTTTGCTTCAGTGCTTCCCTCAAAGCTGGGGATATCCCAGGAGTAAAAGACAGTCTTGGGTCTCTGGAGGTCACTTGACCAATAGCCACTGTCACTGCATGCTCACATGTACAGGGACATCCCCGAGCCATCCACTCAAGGTAGCGCAGGACAGGCTCAGTTCTGCTTTGCCTTTTTGAAAAGTAGCAGCAGCAGCACAACACCGTAAGAGAGGGGAAGGATACTCTTGTAAGAAGTCCAGAGCAGGCAGAGTGCAGAGAAGCTCTCAGCCTCCACAGCATCCAGGATGTAGGCGACAAGGAGCTGCGTGAAGACCCAGGTCGTGCCCCGGTAGAGGAGCTTTGCGACGCGGGAGGTGGCCCAGGCGCTGAGGAAGGGATGGATGCGGTAGTCGGCCTCCACCATGACAGCCCAGCACAGGAAACCAAAGCCGTGGCCGGGCCGGAGGCCGTGCCACCAGGCGGAGAAGGCGAAAGTGGCGAGGAGCGGCTGGGCTGGGCAGCGCTGGAAGACCAGCCTCCGCAGCCAGCAGGACGTGCTCCTGTTCCAGGTGCGGGTGAAGACAGCCAGGCGGTGCGTGGTCTCCAGCACCCACAGCTCACGGCCTGAAAGGTCTCCCTGCCCTTCCTCCGGCCCAAAGCCTGCCACCTTGAGGAGGGCCTCGTCCAGCACCCACTGCGTGTAGTAGGCCAGCCTGAAGAGCAGGGCTCGCATCCACATGTGGCACAGGGTGGCCAGGACGGAGCAGCCCTGTACCCGGGGCAGGCAGCCCTCCAGCCCCACACGCAGCCCCTGCAGTGCCAGCGCCCCAAGGCACCTCCATCCAGCAGCCTCCAGGGGCAGGGGGACAGCCCCCAGGGACTCGGCTTGGACCCGAAAGCTGCTGAAGGGCTGCAGGGGGCCTCCGAGGAGGGCTGGGAAATAGAGCAGGTAGCTGCAGAGAGGCAAGTCTTGCTGCAAAAGCCCCTGGCCTGCCTGGGGCAGAACGGTCCCTTCGTGGATGTCCAGGGCCAGAGATGTCGCTTTTTGGGTGAGCATCATGATGGCAGAGAGGGCAACAGCTGGCCTGAAAGGAGAAAGCAGCGGGGAGAAAGCTGAGGGTGCCTTGGAAGGAGTGTGTGGGCACTCATGCTGTCCCTCCCACCTCCCCGCTGCCATGCCCACGGCACCATCCATCAGCAGGGATGCAGCTGGGGGCCAAGGGGAGACCAACCAGCTTGGCTTGGGTGGGCTTCCACCCATCCAAAATGTCTGGGAAGGTGGAGAGGGAGGGAGGCAGGGCTGGAAGGTTACCTGGCATCCCCTGACTCCAGCGCCAAGCTGCCCAGGCCCAGGTGGCAGAGGGTCTGCCAGCACATCTGGAGGCCAAAGACCCAGGTGTGGACGTGAGCTGGGCTGGCGGAGAGGAGGACGAGCACGGAGGCAGCAGCGGGGATAAGGAGCAACACGGCATAGCTGCCCATGGCTGTGACTGCAAGGAGACATCCTCCAGCGAGGAGGAACGTGTACCTAGAAGAGACCAGATGCCCTCTGGCTGGCTTTTTGGGGAAACTGGTGCTTGAGGCGCCAGCCCTGGTGATGGTGGTAGGGCGTAGTCTGAGGCAAGCTATACCCAAGCTACCACCATAGCTGCAAGGCAGGGAGGGGGGGACTAGGTTGGGTATCGCAGTCCCTGCTTGGTCCCTATCTTTGTCATGCCAGAGGCAGTCCCCATTCCCTCCCTGCTCCCTTTGCCCATGCACTCATCCCAGTACACCCCTAAAACCACCTCTTTCAACAGGAGAGTCTGGCCTGGCTTTTTGAGCCTTAACCACCCTGAACGGGCCCCACTGCTCAAAGAGGGGAGTGGGACAGCTCACGTCCATACCTGCATCAGCAGGGAATCGCTACCTTGTGCCCCACTGCATTTCTGGCTAGGAGAGACCCAGAAAGCACCCACGGACACAACCTGCCCTTGTTGCAGCAGCAGAGGTGGCAACCACGTACCGAGCAGTCGGAGAGAGCTGCCCCGAGGCACAGAGCTGGTGGAAGAGCGCAGCGAAGGGGAACGCTGCCAGCTGGTACCAGGCTGCAGGGAGAAGGATGAGCAGGTCCGCCCAGAGCATCGAGCAGCTTGCTTCTCTGGAAAACGGGCTGAGCCAAGGGCTCCTCTGTCTCTGCTTTATATCTGGCAGGACCACGTCACAGACAGCAAAAAAAAAACAGAGCAGAGCCAAGGAAACAGAGGTATCTGCAGGAGGAGGTGCGTGGTTTTTGCATTTGTCAGTGCTGGCTCCTTGCAGCGCCTCTCTCCCAAGGTCTGTGAGCAGGTGGAAAAAGTTAGGGGTTGGCTATTTGCTCTGCCAGATGCCTGTGCCGTTACCACGTGCTTTGCAGGCAGTGAGAGTGAGCACCGAGATGTGAGCCTCCTTGAGCTGCCAAATGTGTCATGCTGGGATGCACTTCAGAGCAAAATCCCCAGGTACAGAAGAGGCTTGGCCTCATCTCAGCTCAGTCCTTCATGGAAAGCTGTGGCTCTTTCCCATCTCTGGCCTTGCTTGTCGTGGTGGTGGTGGGGATCTCCTGCTGTTTAAATTCCTGGTGACAGAGAGAAGATGGGCTCTGGCACCTCTGCAAAAGGCCAGCGCAGGGTGAGCCCATCAGCCCCAGTACTCAGCCTGAGCCACAGGGCCTTTTCACTTACCAGACATAAAGAAATAGTTCTATTCTTCCTGAACGTTTTTTCTTTGAGAAGATGAAAAACGGAATCACAGACATACTCGAGATCACAGAAATCAGCTGTTGCTGTTAAACTGCACGTTGGTTCAGAAATGTGTCATGTAGAAAAGCAAAATTTCCTCTTTTTGTCAGACCTGAAAGGTGATTTGAAGACTGAGCTCTCGGGTGATCTGAAGACAGTAGCTATTGCTCTCAAAATGCCACTAGTGGTATTTCGTAGCAAAACAGACCACAAAAAAAAAAAAAAAAGCCCACAAAAACAAAGTCAGTCTACAGGACTTTGTTCTTCATTTTTCTTTGTGAGATACAGGTAAGAAAATCTAGGTGAATTCAAATGGAAAGCTCATGTTTGTTTTTATTTCTTTGTTTTTGGTTTTTGTTTTATTCCATTGATAGCTGCTTTATTTTAGGCATATGAACAGTACGATTGTGACGAGAAATGCCATGGAATTTCCCTCTGTATGAAAAAAAAAATTACTTATTAGAGAGGCAGAAGAAAGGTTTTTGCCTTCCTTGGATGAATTATTAAAAATATTTAAAAATACTGTTTTTCAGTAAAAAAGAGCAAAATTTTTGCTTAATGTTACAGAAAAAATCTGTTCTCAAAAAAAAAAAAAAAAGAAATTTTAATTTTAAAACTTTTGCAAATGTTTCTACTCTTCACAGAGCTTTTCAAGTCACCATGATGTTGGCAAGCCTACCATATTGTTTGGAATGGTTATAAGAAGGCAGGGGTTATAAGAAGGCATTTTTCCCAGTGGAAAAAATGACTCAGAGGGAAAACTGCAGGAGAGCTGGTGCTTCATTTTGCTGTGTTTGTAAGGTATATTTTAAGAGGAAGACATTAAATATTTGCAGTTCATATGTGATAGCAATGGAAAAAACTTCTCTCCACGCCACTTCCAGCATGCATGGCATGCAGCAACAGCCTGGTTTCACAGGACTCATGCTGCCGAATTCATGGAGCCCAGCACTAACTTTGCTGTGTAAATAGTTTTCAAGGTCTTTGCAGTGCCTATTTAAGCAATTCGCTGCTATGGTTCTGAAAAAATGTCATTGCTTTTCAAGAAGCAAAAATGAATTTGCACAGTAGCATTGGAAATGTGATGCTGCTTATTTTATAATGTTAGCTGCTGGGCCGTGGAAGTGTGATCTTAAAGTGAGCATATGAGCCAGAGAGAAAACTGTGAGAGAGCTTTATTTGCTTCATTTGTATGTACTACACAAGCAACAGCCCTGTTCCTGTCTGAGGAATTAATTATTTGACAGAAAGTGGGATGAGCAGTGTCAGAGCAAACTGTGGGCACGACATCTGGGCAGATAGGACTCAGACACTATTCCTGGGCTGGTATTCCCAAAGTTCATACCTGCTTTCTTAGTAGAGTATAGTGCTGCTTCAGGAACAGTGTTGGTGGCCTGTTGTAATGCATCATACACTGATCTTATACATATTTAAGATATATATGTGATACACATATATTAATTTGCAGGACACACAGCCAAAATGCAAGATATGAATCAAAGACAAAGTATATATATATATTAAAGAAAAAAGTCAGACTAGTGGGTTTAGTCTTTATCCTAGAGAAAAGCACATAAATAGGAAGGAATGATATTTAAAAAAATAAGGTTTAGGAAGCTTGGACTGAGCTTCTGTCTCCGTGTTTCTCTGTGACCTTGGGCAGCCTGGACTTTCCCACCCAC